AAGATACATTGACATGGAACTGAAAACTTTCAATAGCAGAGTTTCTTTCACATTCTCAGTGCATACTGTATATATATATATTGTAAAACCGATAAAGCCATTTGCTCTTGTGTAAATTATAAGCAAAAATAAGCAAAATATGCAGCACAAAAATACGTTCATGTATTAAACTAATAAACATTGAATGTTCCTGTACAGTATATGTCAGTCATACACAAAATAGAGAGGTACATCACAACTATTAATTTATATCAGTGAAGTAAAAATGTTGACTAAATATCTGTGTTACCTACTAAATGACTGGAAGTTTCAGTGTTTGAAGGGAACTTCAAAACATACAGTAGTCAATGAACAAAACATGCCACTAGTAGAAAATATATCTATCTTCTTGAAGCTCATCATTCACAGATGAGGCAATGAGGGATTATCCAAACAGGAAAATAAATCACATCATTTCAGTGGAATGTTATTTCTTAAAAAAAAACAGTATTTTTAAATGCAATAATTTAGTCGTACACTTTTAATTTTCAACAACCACGATAAATTCAATTTAAATAATATGATGTTAACAAATGTATTTATTGTCTATTTAAAAAATGCATACTCATAGATAGGGAAAACAGAAGACAAACACTTAACACAGTATGCTATTCTACCTTCATGATGTACCTCTCTGCAATGTCAATTTATGCAACATGCAACCAAATCCAAGCAGAAAATAGAAAGTCACCAGAGACACAACTAAATCTCCGAGCAATGTACTGGTGCTGTAATAATACTACACATTTTCTTCTTCTACATTTTGCAAGATGTTGCACTTTATATTTAAATACATTCACTCATTCCAAATTCACCTTCTTTTATTTTGGTCTCAATGTTCATTTTCTTTTTTTTTTTGTATCTGTGAAACGTCATAAACTCTGAATTCCCCAATCAGAGATTGAATCTCAGATGAAATCTACATCTAGCATCCTTCACGTCTGAGATATTCAAAGCATCTTGCTGTTATGTTGTGTCTGTCCTGTTATGTTCTTATCAGTTCACAGGAGGTATAATTACTACAGAGCACATGGGAATCTTCCATAGTTGTGAAGGAAGCTTTGCAAACTCAAATTTGTCAGTTGTTGGTGAATGAAATAGAAAAATTAACAGAAAGTGTCTCCTGTCTCCCATGTTTATTAAATCATTTCCTGACACGGTTACTTCTTACCCAAAGTATAATGTCTATTAAATAAGACCCCAGGAGAATCACACTAATTCGCAACATACAGCTTTCATTGAAGCAAATATACAGGGTCATGGTTTGTATTTGAACTCACAAATCAAGTTGGGACCATATCTAAGACTAGAAATCGCATAATATATTCACTACTGATAGATGCCTTTTACTGTATAATGGCAAAACAAATGTTTTCAAATCTGTTATACAGTATATACAGTATGTAGTAATCGCTTATTATATGGGCTTCATTTGTTCTTCCTCAATGTAATAAGGTGAGGTGAATTCTATGGCAAAATTTGAATTTGTGTTATAATCTCCAATTGGTTCCAGAATTCAAAAACATTCCCTCAGACATCCAAGCTTCACCTTAATATAGCACAGAAAAGTACCTACAGTAAGTATGAATCAATAACTTGTACAACGCATCCACCTTGCGTCTGGGCAGAGGCAACATTGACAGTGACCAGTTTCTGGACTGAACGCATCTACACATCCACTGCTACATCTCTGCTCTTTCTTTTCTTTTCCCGTTTACAACCGTTTTTTGTGCAATATATGCCAGGGACCCGTGCAATACCTTTATATGTATATCTTTATTGACATCTATATTTATATTCATATGTGTGATATGATTTTTCTGCCTACTGTTCTGTTCTAGTCTGTTCTTTGTGTGTTCTGGACTGTGAGTAACTCTTTTAGTGCACCCCTCACTGTACTGATTGTATTCATTCGTTACACTGTGGCTGTGTTGTCTGTGTAAAGCTGCTGTTGCACTGCAATTTCCCTCACGGGATCAATAAAGTATCTATCTATCATAACATGAATACTTTGAGCACACTGTAAAAACGACAGCTCAAGAAGGCTCCACCTCCGAAATGTTGTGTCTCTACTTGTTTCTTTACATTCCTGGCTAGTTATTTGAGTAATGTGCTTAAAGTTATTAGCCAATGCATTGAAAATAGTAGGAAAACAATAACACATTTGTGCTTATTTATGGTACAGTACAGAAGTTACGTTGTAAATTCACAGAGTGACAAAATTGGGTGTGGGACAGCAGGTATCAGGGATTATGTTGACTTTAAGTTTGCAGAGAATGGCCACTGTCTCCCTAAGGGTTGATATATTTCTTGCCTTTGCTCTCTCCCCTTGATCAAAGGTTCTGCTTGTATAGATGCTTTTTAATTACCACATAGTTTAGAGGTGACATCTGGTATGACAAGACCACATGTCTAACTGAGCCTCACATGAAAATATGGGGTAAAATAAATAATGCATTGTTACGCCTGGACGTCTGTATACAGTTAGTTTGTGAATCAGCCCCAAGCTGTTAGCTCTGCCAACACCCAAGACAAAAACGCCAATCATGAGGATTCACACAGCACAAACTGGAGGAACACAGTTTGCACCATAGCACCCCAGGGGAAAGGGCCGTGAAAGAAGGTCCTGGCATTGTCTTTCTCTCTTCATCTTTCCTGAAGCTGGATTTGGAGAAAAACAGGGTGGAGGGAGGGATAAGGGACCACACTGTTGGATCACATTCCAATGACAGATGTCTAAGAACGACCTGGTTCTAAGAGGATTTCTAAGACCTACCAAAGGACAACATGGAGTTTCATCCGTTCCTTTGGTATGGCAGAAAGAGGCACACCAGGTCACTGACCAGAGCTGGGTTTGTGAGGATAATGCTGCTGGACTTTTCCTTTGGGTCATTGGTTTTGATAAATTGGTTATGGTACTGTTCTGTGAGTGCCTCTTGTGGATATGTTGTGTTATGTATTCTGTGTAATGGGGAGGGGGGGTGGTGCAGTTATAGAACTTTTTGGGTTATGGGGATACTTTTGTGTGATGAGTAGATTGATAGACTGTAACAAAATGCCATATCATGTAGGAAGACCACTTTCCCTGCTCTTTAGGTGCACAGTTGTAAATGTAATTAAAAAATAAATGTAAATGCGGATATGTGAGAAAAGAAGAATCTCAACAATACTTTTTGAGAAGAGTGAAATCTGCTTGTTAAGTTAAAAAAATAAGCATAAATGATTACATTACTAAATCTAAGTATAATTGAAAACTTGTCTACTTGTTTGCACTGTATAGCAAGGGATTATTACATACTGTTCTCTACCATGTCTCAGTGAGATGTACAGTAGATATTTTCAGAAATATTTTAAGTGCATCTGACTGTGTTTACAGTATTTTTTGACAGATTTGGAAAAGAGTTCCTGCTCCTATAATATGTAGAGGTTATAAACATTAGCATTATATGCAATGCTTGTGTTATATTAAAAGTAGGTACATTTCATAACACTCTGATGGTATTGTCATGGCTGTTATGTGTCCAATGTCACAAAGCAAAGTTTTAGAACAGATTGACACGGTGATGTATTTCATTCCTATTGTTATTGAGAATGTTCCTTTAAACTACTATAAACTCAATTAACTAGGAATGAGGAAAGATATAGTAAGGAAGAGAAGTGTTTTATTACTTAAAAGAGCTATGCAAATTGCATGCACATCAAAACAAAAACAAATGCCTTCAGGGTACACAAGTGTTTCTCCCTTGCAGCACCATACTGTATGTTTGTTTTTGACCCTCACTGGACAAACACTGGCCCTCTGTTTATGACCAAAATAATTCTCCATTTCCCTATTTAGAAAACAAAATTCAGAATTAAGAGCCATCTATGTAGATAAACAGAATATAAGTATAGATTGATGCCACCTTTTGCTGCTTGCTTGCTTGCTGCAATTCCATGTTTCATTTTGCTATAAAATGTGCTATAAAAAATATTTTGGCCCAGATTATCAAGACAGTAATCCCTATGGGATACAGTATGTGAGACTAACACAGACTATATTGTTATTGCATATTTTTGTTGAAAATGACAGCCTGAACTTTAAATTGTTCTTATTTACATGTTAAACAGAAAAAAAGTTGTAAAACAAACAATCAAATAAAACAGGAATATAGAGTGCTGCAAAGGAAAACACTTTTTTCTCTCAATTCTGTACTTCAGTAAATATAAATGCAGAACAATATGTGAGCTCAGAACTTTAGATCTCAGCAAGTTTCTATGCCCACCTAAAGATACAGTCAAGCATGTTCCCATGTTCCAAAAGACATTTGTGCCTGTGGGCTTTTCTGCTGGTGCCTTTACTCTTGTACACAATTGATGTGCTTAAGTCTGTGTTAAACAAACAATCTTTAATATCAAAAGCATCTGAGCCCTCAAACTAAGAGATACTTCAGTGAACAGCACACAGGCGCTTACCAGGACATGTCATAACCTCTTATTAAATAAGGTAAGCAGTTCTTTTTTTCATTTTGTAGGATTATACCTATCAACACCAAGTATGGGACAAACTGGGTAGGCTGTAAAAGATATAGTAGATATATCTGTAAGCATTATGAAATAAATCATAAGGCTTTAAATGTTCAAAAAGCTAAAAAAATAGTGTAGGATAGCAGCATTGTATTCTTTGATACACCTACATTACGCCTACTAACTTTTTAGAAATGCAGTCCAAATCTGCATGAAAAACAACACTGAATTCTGGCTTCACTTGCTTTAAGAAGCCTTAGGGTCAGAATTGCACATAATTTTTTTTTCCTTTCAAAAGCGATGAACTAAATTCCGCAAACTGTGAATACAACGAGGAAAAAAATGGCTAAAACCTTTCAGAGACACATGTATCTTGAACAGCCGTATTGCTCTCTCCCCTTGAGGGAGGCCGTAGACAGTGGATTCACCCAGAACAAAAGGCTGTGATCCCTCACCGCTCTCTGTTGAATTTGAGTGAATGGAGGACGGCTGGACGCTTTTGTCGAAGGTTCCAGAGGTGCAGAGTGTCATCAGCACAGGCAGTAACAAGAGCTCCCTGCAGAGAGAAAACGAGAGGCATTACAGGATCTGCTGGCAGTTCAGGTTATTTCTTATCAGATTCTTACGACATTTAATAAAGTTAATACCTACTTGCTACAAAGGCCATAAATACTTTGCAGAGACTCCTGAGAGAATTTGATATGGCACATACAGAATGATGGGTATGTCTCATATACAGTATACAGTAAGATCTTAGATTTCTCTTAGTTAAATAAACCAACAAATGAGTAGAATATTTATTAAATTGGACCTTCTGTATTTTTTTTGCTTCTAAATCATTTCCAATGAATAAAATATAGGTAATTTTAATGGAACAGAATTAGGAAGTCCTTATATACAGAATCTCCTAAGAACAAACGAAAGGAGCCCATTCAGTTCTTCTTGTTTGTTTCCCTGTTAGTAGCTTATTGATCTAAGGATAAAACCCAGTCATAAAATATTGCCAATTGTTTTCTATTTTTAGACCCAACAAAACAGAAATTGTTGTTTTAATTCAACTTAATGCTACAACCCCTGAACTGCGTATCGAGCTCTACTGTACAGTATGTACTCCTCAGACATACTGTATACTGTGCCTTTTAGAGCCAAATGTCATTTACAAATTTCACTAAATGATCTTGTATGTACAACCCTGTGATTTCAGGTCATCATAGGCATTCGGACAGACTGTCTTTAAAATAAGGATTATAAACTTCAGTATTTAGTCACATATCCCATTAAGACTTCACTGGGCTTGTGAGCTCATAATAATAAAGCTCAACAAATGCTTTGTACTGCATCTTCAGATATAGTCACTTTAACCACTGACTTGATCAATCAAACAAAAACAACAATTTCAAATTTTCTGTTAGTTTGGAGCACACTGTATGTCATCAATAGGCTATTTTTGTAATTATATCCTTTTGATATCCGTTCGATTGATTATTCACATGTGAGAAAAGCAACCATAGCAGCATGAACCAGCATGAAGCTTTTTTAATAGAAGAATTTCCATTCTACTAGATACAGACTGCAAAACACTGGAAAACAGGTAAAAAGAGAAAATAAAAATGTGTCAATGAAAAATATTAAACTCAAGCAATATTACATCTGTTCTTATACACAAAGAAACTAAAAGGCATTATGAGAGCTACCCATTCTAACTAAAAGGCTGAACTGCACATTAAAGATTAAGAGAGGTCAAAACTTTCACACAGTTGAATAGAGGATTATGCAGAGTGGATGATTGCTTTGAAATGAAAACAGCAAGCTGCATAAAATTCCAAACTCTGAGGAAACTGAAGTGGAGGGCTCAAATTATCTACAGATTAAGGTGGTTACAGACTGAGAAATTACTTCTTCACATCACAAGGACCCTAAAATTCAGTTAAATGCTATAATGGATTAGATTTATGTAAACTTTTTCAAAGCATGGAACTCTGGTTTTTCTATCCCTACGTCTTTGAAATCTGTAACATTAGAACTTTACAGTAGGTACAGTAGGTTGTAAATGTAAGGATGCCATTCAAATCCACATACTGTAGCTCATTTTGTGTATTAGCATGTCTCCTAATGCAGTGTCTTCTGGTTTTCATTCCACCCTGAATTCTTGATTTGAATCAATTGTTCAGTTTACTAATTGTTCTTTATTCATTGCGGATTATAAAACTGGTTGTATAAAACCATAACTATAAAACCTGTAAGGCTGTGATCCTCTGGGGGGAGGAGTGAATATGAGTAGTCCCTTGTAACTAACTGTTAGAAGAATCTCATCCAGCCGATTCCTGAAAAGGAATTGGTTTCAACAAGAGTATCGACTTCAACAGCATGGCTGTGTATTATTTTTCAGACTCCCACTAACACAAGGCATTATTCAGTTTTGGGACGCAGAACTGTTCACATGTCCAAACCCAATGCAGAAATACTTCTGTGAAAATAAATAAAACTTTTTAAATAAAACCTGCTGCTCTCCATACTACTATTCATTCTTAGACATGAATACTGGTTAGAAACCTACCATGAAGAACTTATCTGTTCTATTACTGAACTCTGATTACCATAAATAAACAGAGAAACCTCATTTGAGCTCATAAAGTGCCCACTTTATGCTTTTTTGTGTGTTTACCACGCTGTATGAATATGTCATTTTTCATTAACTGATTAAAGTGCTGCAATTTTAAGATATCTTGAAATATGAACAGATTTAGTACGGAGTCATTCAATTCCCCAAATAATCTTTCTGACACATACAAAACTGTATCCATTATTCAGTTTTTTGTGAAGGTGAGCCACAGAGGTGTGACACATGGGAGTGCCTCAGAAGTAGAAACAATGTCAATGTTTATAGACTGACTCCGCTGTGGCATCAGCTTTGACACTTCCAGGGAGATTTGAGAAGAAGAGGGAGGGAAGCAGCAGCTGAATGACAGCAAAGTGTTTAACATCTAACATTTATGTTAGGTATGTGGGTGGGAAAATAGCAACATAAAATTATAAATGTTTGTTATTTACCACTTACAATTGTACAGGCAAAAGTATAGTGCCTGGACAAGGTGCTGAGTTTAGCAGGTGGTCAGGAATGGGCAGATCTTCTGAGCATTGTAAATTATAAATCTGCCGGAAACAGTCACAAATGAAATGGAGGTCAGGTATGCAGATGATTGGTGCCACTAACTCAACCATTCCAGCCCAGTGCCAGATGTTCAGTTTAATTAATTTAGTTAACAAATGTCTTGAGCTTGAGAAACACACAGCAACATAAGTGGTGTAACATAGTATTAGACTGATACTTAAGCAGCATAGAAGCAAAACTGAGTGTCGACCAGTCTGACCCAAACAGTTTGTTGATGAGTTTATGGTTGTACTTGAATGAGATCTAGCCTGCTGCAAAGACTTTACTTCTAAAACAAAAAAGCTACTTTATGGGGTAGCGTGGATCCCCAGAGCACTCACTTGGGAACAGTACGACACATAAATAAGCATGAAGCATTAAATTGACTCAAGAAATGTAGGAAGAATATTTAGAAAGATGCCTAGATGCTTTCATTGTGGATATTAGGGGCACACTTCTCCACAACGTCCTTCTACCCAAGAACCAAAGCTGATGAATGAGAGTAAAATGTGGAACAACCTCCCCCCCCAGACAATTTTGAAAAAGTCAAAATAACTAGAAACTTGTCCAAGCTCTAATCAACACATGGAGTGCCAACACAAAGTCTCACTAAGTCTGTTATGAACCACTGACAGATAGACAAGAAGATGTACACGTAGCTTACCAGAAGTGTGTCTATGTGGATAGAAGAGACTATCCCACAACAAAACTAATACTCTACCTATGCCATCAAATCTATACTGTTTGAACGGTAGTGTTAAACTATTTACTTTACTCAACTTATTTTCCTTCATTGCCAACTGTTTTTGCTGATCTTCCAAAACCCAGTGGCAAACAAGGGTAGACAAATGGTAGGGACAACTTTAAAAAGAACCAGAAGAGGTGCGGTTCTCAACCATTTGTCATCAGCCCAGAGCCTGGGGATGAGCCAAAGCACCTGTCCAGCAAACTACTGTAGGTCCAAAGTCTCTTCAGGAACCCTTAGGCATCTGGCAGATGGAATTCTAACCTTGAATTTCTGTTGACACCAGAGATAATACACTACATTGTCATGCTCATACACAAGTAGAGGAACTGAATAGGATCCGCACTGAAGGGTAAGTTAAAACTCCTGCTTCTTTTATTTTTAAAAACAATTTGTTGTACCAGTTAAATGGGGATAATGAAGTCTGATTATTAGTCCCACAGAACCACCATTGATGGCCTATAAAGGTATCGAAGAGCAGGATGAATCTGGTCCCGCTAATAGTATCTTTGTTCTCCATGCTGTAGGCTCAGTACAAGTTTCATTGGACTTAAAATAAGAACAGAGTCTGCTGATTACCTACCATAACGTACAGCTATCTTTCAAAACGTTCTTATAACAACTCTGGTAATTGAATGTCACATTCCTGAAGAAAAGACAGCTGACATTTTAGTCAGTTCCGACCAGAGACTCAAAAGGTTCAGACAACATGGGATTGGTAGTTTTATTTCTAAAAGGTTAGCACCCTGAAAAACCTCACACAGATGATGGCATCCATTACTGTTCAGGGGAATGCTGAGACATTGTCTGCGATATGGAGCATGCACTCCATCAAAAACCTGTACTGATGGTACCCAACTTTAACAACTTTAACAATTCTTTTTATGGACTGATGCTTCAGAGAGAGATCTTATTACAGATGGGAGAAGTCACACATCATCCAGTTCTTTGCTTAGTGGGAAATTTCTGCCCAGAGAATGTAACTCTGGAATGGTTTAGAAATAATACCTAGTTGTAAAATTAGCAATTTATTTAACCTTCTGGGCCTAGAATTTACGCTGGTAATTGACCATACACCTCTAACATTAATTAAATCAAATAAGGAGAAAAATACTTAAGTTACAAATTGGTTTCTTGCCTTGCAACCGTACCTTTTCACTGTGAAGAATCATTCAGTGGTCTCACAGGGTAATGCCAATACTCTTTCAAAGGTCAACTGCCTCATAGCACCTACTCTGCAGTGTTGTTCAGTCTTGTTTGAGGTGGGGGGTGGGGAATGTGACAAGGCTGTTGCAAAAGAGATCTGTAATTTTAGCCAATATCACAAGAGGGCCCCAAAGGCCTCTGTTAAAAAGTTAACAAGGGAATCGCTATCCTGAAATGTCCGAATGAAGAATTGCAAAAAAGTTGACATGCATGGGGTTCCAATAAAATACAGGAGTCCTGAAGAATGAGAAAAGGACCATTATAAAAGTATAGCATCAGGAAGGAGAGGAAGTCTGCATTCAAGGCTCATAAGGAATGTCCAGTGATTTTTTTTTCTTAATAATAATTAATAATTCCTTACACTTAATGTATATAGCGCTTTTCTGGACACTCCACTCAAAGAACTTTACAGGTAGTGGGGACTCCCCTCCACCACCACCAATGTGCAGCATCA